GGCCCCCCCCCCCCCCAATTTTGGTGCCCTAGGCGACTGGTTCACTTCATGGTTAGACCAGCCTTCCCTGAGTACACCCGGCTGGTTGTGCAATGCTGTATGACTTCCGGCCTGATCCCAGCAGTTGATCGGTTTATGCCTTGAGGCACAAGAGTTAATTATTCTGTCTTAGTTTATGCATATGTGAATGGTGTTAATCTCAGCAAAGAGCCTGAATGTAGTGAAACCTGTAGTTTGTAATCTTGGTCCAGTCTCAGTTTGGTACACAGCTGCTCCCCTTATTAATATTCTCAGGCCTGGTCGACACTACAGAGTTTTACTGGCAGACCTCCACTGCATGCAAAGCACCTTTGCAGCGGCAGAGACCACCCTTCTGAGGGAAGAATTACCCCACCCCTGCTGAGAAGAGTAAGGCCTCTGTCATCACCCAAAGGAAGCCACATGTAGGCATTGCTGCATCTCCAGCTACTTGCCACAGCCCCTCCAGCGGCTGGTGCCTTCCCAGAGTGCATTGCATTTGGCTGGCAGCTGCTGCAATGGAGCTACTATAAGTGCATGAATGTGAGTGTGCTCTGGTGGCTGGGTGGTGATAGCTGCTGCGTGCTGGTACTTCTGGTGAGAGAGAGAGAGAGAAATGTGGACAAAACCTTAGCAAACAATCCAAGGACTGAATGGGCCATGGGCATGGACTCTTTTGCCCTTAGGGAGGCACCCTCAAAGGAAGAGTTGAGGAATATTTTATTATGTCCAACATCACTCTGTGGATCAGGGGTGCCAGTCTGCAGGCCTGACAGTAAACACTGTTCATTGGCACACAAGTCGCATGGTTAAAAGCCTGACTGCAAATAAAACCCCTTTCTCCTCTATTAAGTTTACTGTAATAAGTGCATTCATTCCTAGCATAGAAAGTGCACTGGTCATTGGAAACCTTTAAATGATCCTTGAATCCCCACAGAAAAACTGATCCTTGTAATGAGCAACTTAGACTTTATTCTATTAGGAGGTTCCAGTGATTTGAGTTTAACTTGGTGGTTTACGATGTTACCAGAAGTTCGTGATGGAATTATTTCTTCTATGTTTTATGGCATTCCCATTCTGTCATTCTCCATGTGCTTTAAAGGGCATGAACAGCAGGGCTGTGCCTGCAATATGGTGCTTGCCAGCTAATAGAAGACATGTTCCTTTTCAGGCAGGGGGTAGATACAAGCCCCTACCTCTCCCTCCTCAATCAAATCAGGATCCTCTGAAAGAAGGTGGGGATAGTTTGGGTGGTTGTGTCTCAACAGAGCCATACAATCAATCTCTGGGCTAGACAAGTAAATAATCAAGGGAGAAAGATCAACCAGGTTGGATGACAGCGCACAAAACCCCAAGCTCAGAGGGCTGGGGTTCACTGCTGGATTCTTTATTGGGGAAAGGTTTGTTGAATCCATCCGAGACCCCATATTGCTTCTTATCCAACCTCTGAGAAAGTGCCTCTATGAGGAACACCTTGCAGACCACAGCGTCTAGGAATACTGGGAATATGGGGAATGCCAGGATGGGAGAAACAGTAGGTTGGACATGCACAGCGCCATCTCCATCTACAGGGTACTTCTCCAGCAAGCATCTTTCTTTATCCAGGCCAGACATTGTGATCCAGACTGCAGTCTTCTGTCCTGATTAGGATTTACATTGTGCCTGTTGCCCTGACAGGGTGTAAAGTAGCGGCATACTTCACACTATGCGGCAAATTTATCTCTAAGTCTGATCTTGTGATTAAGGCACTGGGCTGGGATTCAGGAGCCCTCAGTTCAGCTCCTGTCTCTGCCACATATTAGATGATGTGCCCAGGATCACCCATCTGTCCCCCAGCTCATCCTGTCTGTAAACACCTCCTCTGTCTCTTATTCTGTGTATGTGTTTGATATAGAAGGGTGCTGATCTTGGCTGGTGTCTTTAGGCATTACTATAAGGGAAAGTTAATAAAATAAACAAAATGACCCGGATGGATGACAAGGGTCAGCATCATTTTCTCAGTGAGATGTCAAAACAAGGATTGAACCTCAAAAGCACTTCCTTTAGAAGTAGAAGTTTTACCCTTGGGGTTTGGGGAACGTGTGTGTATGAGGTGGTGGAGAGTAGGGTGGGGGCAGGGATGGGGACAGGGCACTTCAGTTTGAGACGCAGTGCTCTGCTTGCTGGTGTGCTTCATTGCTGTTTGTATTAGACACAGCAATCCTTTTATCCCAGACCCTTGTAATGCAGTTACTAGTTGTGTGATTGATGTATGCATGCATCAGTTCATTTACTTTTTTTCTGATAAACTAGTTTACAGTGCATCCGTGAGTCCAATTCCCCAAAGCATGCTCAGATACCACCACAGATTGATCAGGTACATGTCAATGGATTTCTCCTGCAGGAAAGAACTTACCTGGCCTCTTCAGTTCTAGGAAAGTTAATGTGTTTCCATTCTGAGAAACAAGAAGGAGACAGAAAAAAAGCATAGCCATGTACAGTTTATCTCGAAGAGAAGAATTGTAGAGTAACGGTCAGTGTAGAAAAGTCTGATTGGACACTTCTTTTCACCTGCCTAATAGAAGAACAAGGGAGCATTCAGTACAGTTGAATGGTTACAAGGTTAAAACCAATGAAAGGGAATTGCATTTTCACCTGCATCCAACATTAGCAGTTAGCCTGTGGAACTTAATCCCACAAGATATCACCAAGGTCAAGACCCAAACAGGATTCTCACCTCCCCGCTCCCCAAAAAAACCAAACAAAAACCATTTATAAGCAACAAGGACATTCCTAGCTAGAACAGTGAGTATTAGACTTGAACATGCATAGTTTAGGAAGGCTTTGTTCTCAGACTCATATCTATAGTGATCACTGGGTGCAGTAAACATAGCCATACATGAATGAGAACAACACACTTTAATTTGTGGAGCAGTACACATCTGGAGAACCTTGGTCTCGCTCTCTCTGACTCTTAACTGGCTGCTTCTTGAGGGACCATCTCCCATTTCCCAACTTTCTCAGTCTTCTGTTAGGTAGCATCTATAAATGATAACTTCTATCATTACAGTGTCCTAACC